TTTTTTCTTTTTGCTTATGTGGTGCTGAGGAATCGAACCCAGGGCCTCAGGCATGCAAGGCAAGCGCTCTACCACTGAGCCACCTTCCCAGCCCCGAGGTTTCTGTTTCTGCTCCCTTTTCAGAGAGGCCCTCCTGACCACAGCAGCTAAACCTGTGACTTCCTCAGATCCTTTTTGTCCTCAGCAGCCCTCTTGGATGGCTGACCACCTGATAGCTATAATCCTAGCTAATAAGGAGGCTGAGATCTGACATCCAGGTTGGAAACCAGCTGGGGTAGACACATATTGGCAATTCTCCAGTGAGCTAGCAAAAAGCCAGATGTGGAGGTGTGGCTCACGTGGTAGAGTGCCAGCCTAGCAAGGGTCAAGCCCTGTGTTCTCCCACAAAAAGAGGCTCAGAGCTAAGAACTGAATGAAAGTTCAGAGCCAGCGGGGGTGGGGAGGGGTGTTAGCTCTGTTCAAAGCCAGCCTGAGAAAGAAAAGTCCCCAGGAGACTCTTATCTCCCATTCAACCCATGCAAAAATCGGAAGTGGCGCTCTGGCTCAAAGTGGTAGAGTGCTAACCTTGAGCAAAAGAGCTCAGGGACAGTACCCAGGTCCTGAGTTCAAGCCCCACTAGCAACGCCCCCCGCCCCGAAAAAAAAAATCAGTGCCAGAGAGCACAGAGATGAATGAAGAACCATGAATGAAGCTCAGCTCCAGAAATATGAATGAATGCAAGAGAATGAAGCTGAGAGCCCCAAAGTGGGATCTGAAAAGCCAGCTCTCCAGCCCCAAAGAGACGGGATAGGAGCAGCTGCCGGGTTTGCAAAGTCACAAGCAGGTACTGCCTGCCTCCCAGCCCTAGAGCAGCACCCGCCTTCTCCCCAAGGCCTCTCCCCAGGAAGGGGTGCGGGGAGCCCCTCACCAGTAGTTCACCCGGATCAGGATCCTCTTGTGCAATTGTATGTCCCTGTTGGCGGGGGCGAAGGTTTTGGTGGAGACAAAGGACGACGACGGGGCCGGCGGGAAGAGCAGCCCGGGAACGGGGGTCTCGGGCAGCAGGGTGGACGACAGGGTGCCGACTGAGGACGAGCCCAGGGAGGGCTCCAGCTCCTTGGAGGCCGAGGGGGAAAGCGCGGGAAGCGGGCCCTGCAGGGTCCCCGCCGCCCTGGCGACCGGGGGTGGCGGCACCGGCTTCGGGCCCTCGGGGGCGTCGGGAGCCGGGGGCTGGAGGGGCTCCGGGGCGGGTCCCGAGGCGGCCCCCGGGAGCCGGAGCTGGCTCGGGGAGGCGTCCGCCCCCGGGGCCGGAGGAGCGGGCGTTGGGAACTGGACGGGAGCTGGGACCTGGGCCGGGGCCGGAGTCCGGGTGGGAAGTGGGGTCCAGGCCGGCGCCGGGGACACCAGAGCTGGGGTTGGGAACTGGACCGGAGCTGAGGTCTGGGCCGCGGCCGGAGTCCGGGTGGGAAATGGGGTCCAGGCCGGCGCCGGGGCCTGGGCCGGGGTCTCCGGAGCGTCTACCCGGTCCTTGGCGTCGAGCGAGACCGGGATCTGCGTCTGGGCCGCGGCGGGAGTCTGGACTGGAATCTGGGTCCGAACTGGAGCCGGGGTCCTGATCGGGGTCGGAACCCGGACTGGAGCCCGCGGCCTGACAGGGATCGGAGCCCGGACCTGAGCCGGGAGCCGCCCCGGGGCCGGGAGCCGCCCCGGGGCCGGGGGCCGGACCGGGGCCGGGGGCCGGACCGGGATCGGGGGCCGCCCCAGGGCTGGGGTCGGAGTCCAGGCAGGGGTCCCTGGAGCCACAGTCTGGCCCGGGAGGTCGGTCTGGCCCGGGAGGTCGGTTTGGCTCGGTTGGTCGGTCTGGCCCGAGATCGAAGTCTGGGCTGGAGCCGGGGTCCGGACTGGGATCGGGAGCCGGACTGGAGCCGGGGTCCTGACCGGGATCGCAGTCCGGACCAGAGTGGAGGTCCCGACCGGGGTGGAGGTTCGGATGGGAACCGAGGTCCTGACCGGGGTGGAAGGATGGGTCGGCGTCGGGGTCCGGACCAGGGTGGCAGCCCGGCCTGGGGCCGAGGACCTGCGTGTGGTCGGGCCTGGGGTTGGCGCCTGCTGGTTCATGGCAACCCGGGGATGGAAGTCCGGCTGCCCCCCAGCTTCCTGGGGCCAGAAGAGCATCTCCCGCCCCAGGGTTCTAAACGGGGGGCGACCACGGGGTGGGGGCACTGTTACACCGGGATTCCACTTGGGCGGAGGCTCCAAGATCTGCCAGAATGGCCCCACCCACCCATCACTAAGGGACTCAGAGCCCAGGGCTCCCATTGGCTACTGTGGACATTCACGGGGTTCAGCTGGCTATCAAGTGTGGCCATGAAGTACACATGCGCCTCGGTTGGGTGAACTAGAAGATGAAATCTGTGATCATGTGGAAGACCTTGTCCTGGGTGGGGGGGGGAGGGGCGGCGTGGCAGAAGAAAGATCAGAAGGGATGGTGCTCTGTCAGCCTCAGCCTTGGAGACCAAAGGTAAGCCAGCACCAGAAACATGGGAGAAGGGGATGTTGGTTGGTTGATGGTAGTGGTTTGTTCAGTTCTGTGGGCTTTTGTTGTTCTATTTTGCTTCTGGGCCCAGAGTCACAAGCGCCTTTGGTACTGAGCTTCACCTGCACTCAGAAATCTAGGCTTTTTAAGCCACGAAAATTTGTTACATGAAATGCCACCGTTTTCCAAACTTGGTGCATCAAGAGTTGGAAGCCAGGGCTGGGAATGTGACTTAATGGTAGAGTGCTTGCTTGCCTAGCATGCCTGAAGCCCTGGGTTCAATTTCTCAATACCGCAGAAGCAGAAAAGGCTAGAAATGGTGCTATGGCTCAAGTGGTAGAGTGCTAGCCTTGAGCAAAAGAAGTTCAGAAATAGTGCCCAGGATTCAAGCCCCAGGATTGGTAAAAAAAAAAAAAAGAAAGAAAGAAAGAAAGAAAAGAAAAAGAAAGAAAGAAAAAGAAAAAGCCAGGTGCCAGTGTAATCCTAGCTACTCAGCAGGCTGAGATCGGAGGATCGCAGTCAGGAAAGTCTGTGAGACTCTTATCTCCAATAAACTACCAGAAAACCAGAAGTGGCGCTGTGGCTCAAGTGGTATTATACTAGCCTTGAGCTGAAGATCTGAGGGACAGCACTCAGGCCCAGAGTTCAAGCCCATGACTGACAAAAAAAAAAAGTTGGAGGCCAACCTGGGACCAGTCCCAACACCAGTCCCAGCCAGCCAGTGGTGACAGCCAGCGGTGACCAAGTATAATCCTACTGTGCGCATGCGCCTTGACTGGATAAAAATAGAGCAGTGATCCAGATGACCCTGGGTCCTTTCCAGACTGTGGAAGGGTGGGGTCTAGGTAAGAAAGGCCCACTACCAAAGACTGATAGCCTAGGGTGGTGGGAGAAAAAGAGGGGTTAGAAGTCCAACACTAAATACAAAACACTCAGCCTGTTGTATTTGATCAAATTAACAGCCTTTATAAGATGTCTCTGGAGTGATAGAGAGAAAAATAGGGTATAAATAACTTATGTACAATTTCCACCCCTTCCAGGGAGCCCTCCAAAGTGTCTGGGGGAGAGACTGGGTCCCACCAAGGAACAAAAACATCCAATTCTGTCTGCCAACGCCTATGAAGAGAGACAGATCAGGCCTGGAAATGCAAAAACAAAAGAACCATTAGGAGATGCCGTCCCTCAGTTTCCCCTCCTTGACCCAGAAGCAGTTCTTGGCTGAGGGAAGAGTCCTCGGGGTGACTTCTTGAATCTCTGGATCTCCCAAAAACAAGATGGCAAGGAGCCCATATTGTAGCCAGTGCAATGCAGAACAGAATTAAAATTAGCAAGTTCTGATCGCAGAGTTTATCCTCTGAGTTTCCTATGTAAAAATCAAGGCAGGCTGAAAAAAAAAAGCAAGAGGCTGTCTCTGCCCAGAGACCCCAACATGTACAGGGTGGGGATGAGGGGCGCTGCTACCTCCCGAGCATAGACACAAGGAGCAGATATGATGTAAATCGACTGAGAGTCTCCATCTTCAGGGCGATTCCAATCTATAGACGAACTGTGGGAAGAAAGCAAGAAGATCCAGACCCTCAAGATTCTCCCCCGGCCACGAAACAGAACTCACAAGCAGGCAAGGGTAATTCTAGAAAGACCTTACCAGCAGAGGGCTAGAACTAAGGGCGTGGGCAGAAATGGTAGATCAGAGATGGAAAAATAAAAATGAAAAAGCAGCCAAGCACAGGTGGCTTAGGCCTGTCATCCTAGCTACTCGGGAAGCTGAGGATCGCGGTTCGAATCCAGCCTGGGCAGACATGTCCATAAGACTATCATCAACGAACCACCAAAAAGCTGGAAGTGGAGGCGTGATTCAAGTGGTAGAGCACCAGCTTTGAGCACAGAAGCCAAATGAGAGCGCGAGGCCTTAACTTCGAGCCTCAGCACACACACACACACACAAATCGGGTCAATGGCGTTTATAAGAGTCAGTGCGCACAGCCGGTAGCAAAGAGGCACAGATGGGCGCCTCTCACCTAGGACCATCCCCAGGCCCTTCCTGCGTCCTCCGGTTGTTGAGTGCATCGGGGAGCATGTGGCCTGCCGGTTCCGGGGTACCCGCCAGCAATCGGGACCCGGCATCCCGGCCAGAACCTCGACGCCTCACTTGGACCACGAAGAGTGCGGCGCCGCCCAGGCCCGCGGCCACCAGCAGCCCTAGAGCGGGTGGCAGGAGGAAGCGTTGCGGATCCGCCCGCCTCGGGCCCGGCGGGATCGCGGGTACTGCGCCTGCGCCCTGGTCCGCGCCGTCGGGGCGCACTGGGAACTCGCAGCGCGTGCCCATGTAGCCGGGCGCGCAGGCGCAGACCAGGCCGGAGAAGTGCGCGTAGCAGCGGCCGCCGTGGGCGCAGGGGCGCGCGGCGCAGGGGTCTGCGCGTTCCCGGCAGTCGCGACCGCCGAAGCCCAGCGCGCACGAGCAGCGGCGCGCGCCGCCGCCACCCTCCACGCACGTGCCGCCGTTGGCGCAGGCGCGGCTCGCGCAGTCGGCCAGGTCGTGCTCGCAGCGCGGACCCGCGAAGCCTGCGCGGCAGCGGCAGCGCAGAGCGTGGCCCAGGTCCAAGCAGAGGCCACCTGTGGAGAAAGGGGGCGGGGAGTGTCAGAGGTAGAAGAAGCGTGAACCTTGACCTTTGCCGGTGCCTCATTCGGCTTGACTTTCCCTTACCCCGTGCTTTTCCACCTCTTCCCTCACCTGGCTCACCTTTCCAACACCCGGATCGGATCGCACGCGCTTTCCTCCCGGAAGCCCTCCATCCCAGCCCCGGTGTATTGTTGCGGGAGCCAGCCCCCTGCGCTCCTCCCTCACACCCCGAAGCAATTCTCCGCGCTTCCGATGGGCAGGGAATGAGCTATTGGAGATGACACTCAGACAGCTTGTGGTAACCCAGCATACAGAGCACCAGCGGTGTTCCTAGAATCACTTGGCCCAATGAGCACTCCGCTTTGGAGAATTCTCTACCAGATATACCAACTGGGGGCGTGGTTTAGAAGGGCTAGGGCGTGGCTTGTGTGGTCTGGGTGTGGCTTAGGACTGGGGCGTGGTTTAAGTAGCCTGGATGTGACTTCGGATTGGGCATGACTCGTGTGTCGTGGGCGTGGCCTGTGCTGTGTGGGCGTGGCCTTGGGTTGGGGGCGTGGTCTAGGTGGTAGAGTGCTTGCCTACAAGTGAGAGACTCTAAATTCAATTTTCAGGACATGAAGCGGAACGGGGAGAGGCAGGAGGCCTTCCATTTATGATCTCATTAATTTGATCTTTTATCACCTATTTCAGATGAGTCTCAGAAGCCTCCGGAGGCTCCATTTTACCCCCTTTCTCCCTATTGCCCTAGTGAAGGTCCCTGGCACCTGCCAGCCATCACTGACTCAAAACACACCAGACCTAAATGCCTAACCACATCTGTCCCTACACAGAATAGGGATTCCCTGTTCCATTTCCTGTTGTATCCACTGTGCCTCGATTAAGGCCAGACACCCCCTAAATTCTCAGTCAATACGTAAGAGATCACTGTGTCATTCCAAAGGCCGAGGGCTGTGTCTCCAGACCCCAGGACAGAAACATCAGTGGAAAGTCAGGATTCCCATCCTGTATTGCCTAGGCCGTGCACCCCTGTACCCCAGCCCTGGCTCCAGCCCGCCAACCCCTCACCATTTTGGCAGGGCTGCAGGCTGCACCGATCCACTCTCTTCTCACAGTTGGAGCCCTGGAAACCCGGTGGGCAGTGGCACACGTAGGCAGAGTCGGGGTCTGCGCCCCCGACGCACAAGCCACCGTTGAAGCAGGGCCCATCCGCGCATGTCACCCCGCTCACCTCGCAGCGAGGCCCGTAGAAACCCCGGGGGCAGGCACATTCGAAGGAGCCTGGCGTCTCCTGGGCAGGGGCGAGATGGCTTTGAACTCGAGGCTCTTTGAAGCAAAATCCCACCCCTTCCTCCATCTCCATTGCTTTGGACTGCTCTCAGTCCCAGCCCCAAGCCTTATGGGGGTGGGTGAGACACCCTGGACCTCTGTATATGAGACTCCACAGGGAGGCAGCTCTGGAAGACCCACCTCCCAGCCCATTCTGACCATTCCAGATTGCCCTGTCTGCTCTGCCCTCCCCCCTCCCCAAATCCAACACCCCAGCCCCAGCTCTGAGCCTGCCTCCTCCATGCAGGTTTCTTGCAACCCCTGGCACTTACATCCTAACCCTCCTCTGAGGTTCCACATTCAGGCTGGACACCTCCAGGAAGCCCCCTGTGATTGCTACGCTCAGACCACCTCCTAAGCTGGTGTCTCGCCAAGCCTAGAGAGGGGCACCCAAGGAACTGCCACAGGGAAGTACTGGTTAGAATGAGGTCGGAATGGGAATACTGACGCTACAACTGCCCCCATTGGCACAGGGGTTTCCGTCACAGGGCCCAGGCCCAGGCCCAAGACATTCAGAGATGGCAGAAGGTAGGCTTCCCGGGCTGAGGCAGCTGCTGATGGCGACAGGGATGGTGCAGAGGGGCCCGGTCCAGCCCTCCTGGCACTGGCATTCATCTGGCTGCTCACAGAAGCCGTGTTCCGGGCTGCAGCCAGCTCGACATGGCGCTGTGGAGACAAAGAGGAGAGAGATGGGGTGGGAACGCTCAAGTCTGAGCCTGGAAAGAATGAGGGGTGTCTGGGATACAGGAGGGACTCCAGGACTTCCAAGAAGGTATTGGATTCCAGTAGGCTTGGAAAAAAATCTATCTTTTTGGTTCAAGACCAGGATTCTAATTTAGTACCTGATGCTTTTATTCATTGGCTAGTGTTCTACCAATTGAGCCATGCCTCCAACACCAGGAAAAAATCTACATTAAGAAGAAATCCTGCCGGGTGCCGGTGGCTCACGCCTGCAATCTTAGCTACTCAAGAGGCTGAGACCTGAGGGTCATGGTTCAAAGCCAGCCAGGGCAGAAAGACTATGAGATTCTTATCTCTAATAAACCACTAGAAAACCAGAAGTGGCACTGTGGCTCAAGCAGTAGAGCTCTAGCCTTGAGCAAAAGAAGTTCAGGGACAGTGCCCAGGCCCTGAGTTCAAGCCCCAGAACTGGCAGAAAGAGAAAGAAAAAGGAAGGAAGAAAGAAAGAGAGAAAGAAAGAAAGAGAGAGAGAGAGGAAGGAAGGAAGGAAGAAAGGAAGGAAGGAAGGGAAGGAAGGAAGGAAAAATTCCAAGACTCTTGGTGGTCCTCTGGTGTTTGGGGAGGGGTCCCAGGAACCCCAAGGTGGAGATTTTCTCCAGCTTAAAAAACATTAATAGGGCTGGGAAGGTAGCTCAGTGGTAGAGCACTTGCCTTGCATGCCTGAGGCCCTGGGTTCAATTCCTCAGCACCACATAAACAAAAAAGAAAAAAAACCGGAAGTGGCATTGTGGCTCAAGTGGTAGAGCGCTAGCCTTGAGCTGAAGAGCTGAGGGAGAGTGCTCAGGCCCAGAGTTCAGGCTCCATAACCGGACCAAAAAAAAAACATTAATAATCATAAGCTGAGTGCTGGTGACTCATACCTGTCATCCTAGCTACTCAGGAGGCTGAGATCTGAGGATTTCGGTTCAAAGTCACCCTGGACAGGAAATTCTGTAAGACCCTTATCTACAGTGAACTACCAGAAAACCAGAAGTGGAGCTGTGAGTCAAGTGCTAGCCTTGAGCAAAAGAGCTCAGAGACAGTGCCCAGGCCCCAAGTTCAAGCTCCATGACTGACAAAAAATAAAGGGGCTGGGAAGGTAGCTCAGTGGTAGAGCGCTTGCCTTGCATGCATGAGGCCCTGGGTTCGATTCCTTAGCACCACATAAGCAAAAAGAAAAAAGCCAGAAGTGGCGCAGTGGCTCAAGTGTGCTAGCCTTGAGCTGAAGAGCTGAGGCACAGCGCCCAGGCCCAGAGTTCAGGCCCCACGACTGACAAAAAAAAAAAAGCAATGAAAGAAGACAGGCAGGCATTGGTGGCTCACATTTGTCATCCTAACTACTCAGGAAGCTAAAATCTGAGGATTGCAATTCAAAACTGCCCTGGGGAAGGAAAGACTGTGAGCCTCTATCTCCAGTTAACCACCAAAAAGCCAGAGGTGGGGCTGTGACACACAGCTCAGGGACAGTTCAAGTGTTCCCAGGGATGGGCAGAACAAAACAAAACAATGAAGGAGCCCAAGTGCTATGGCTCATGTTAGTCATCACAGCACTTGGGAGGCAGAGATTGAGAGGACTGAAGTATGAGGTCAGCCTGGGTAAAACTTAGTGAGACCCTCATCCCAACCAAACATTGGCATCTGTGAGGCCAGGTGTGCTTCAAGGGCCATAGACAGAAGAATCACAGTTTGAAGACAGCCTTGGGAACCAATCCAAAACAACTTTTAAAAGCCAAAAGGGGTGTGGCTCAAGAGGTAGGGCACTAGCCTTGCATTGAAGAACTGAGGGACAGCACCCAGGCCCAGAGTTCAGGACCCACAACTGGACCCCCCCCCAAAAAAAAAGGTAGAGTCTCTGCCTAGCAAGCATGAGGCTCTGAGTTCAAATCCCAGTGTCACAAAAAAAAGAACAACAATCCATGAGGGAGCCTAACATAGTGGTTCATGCCTATAATCCGAGAACTCAGGAAGGTAAGATGATCTCAAGACTGGACTTTTTATGAAGACATTATCTCCAAAAAAGGAAGAAAAAAAAGCAGTAAGAGGTAAGCACCATGATAAAAAGCATCTGCCCTGCAAGCCTGAGGCCCTGAGTTCAAATCCTAGTGCTGTCAATTAATCAACCAATCAAAAAAATAGAAATATTGGGGTTGGGAATGTGGCTTAGTGGTAAGTGCTTGCCTCGCATGCATGAAGCCATGGGTTCAAATCCTCAGTACCACATACACAGAAAAAGCTGGAAGTGGTGCTGTGACTCAAGTGTTAGAGTGCTAGCCTTCAGCAAAAGAAGCTCAGGGACAGTGCCCAGGCCCTGAGTTCAAGCCCCAGGACTGGCCAAAAAGAAGAAATAAAAATAACAAAATACAAGAGATTTATTCTGCATTCTCAAGAAGGGAAGGAGGATTGTTGCAAGAAGGGGAATTGAGAAGTTCCTCAAGGGCTTCGAATTAGAAGAACTTTGGGGTGTCGGGCTAAAGGCTGAGATCGATGGGGACCCCACCACAGGAAACAAGTGTAGGCTTCCTACTTGGAACTACAAGAGCGCCAGAAGAGGGAAGAAGGGCTGGATGTCCCAAGCAGGGCTGGAGAAGTCTAGGGTCCTCAGTTTCCCTGAAGGTGTTTGGTTGGATGGTGGGAGGGGGGACTGAGGACCATGATTGGAGCTAGAGAAGGGACCTAGGTAGGACTCCCCAGTTCCCTGAAGGGGGATAACCTGGCCGCAGGAGGGGAATGGGAGGACAGGACCGAAGCGAAGGCAAGAGGAATGGGGCAGTGGAAGACTCACGCGGATCCTGGCAGTGGTCTTCGAAGGGCGCGCAGGGCCGCAGTCCCGGGCCGCACCGCGAGGGGGCGCCGCGCGAGCGGCACAGGCGCGTGCACGCGGCGCCCGCGGCCGGCGGCTCGCAGCGCGCGCGGTAGGAGAAGCGCAGCTCCCAGGCACCGGCGCGTTGCACATCGCGGGCCCACGGAGACCCCGCAGCCAGACGCCGGCGACCCGCCACGCGCGTCAGCAGGCTCCAGGCGGGCCCTGCGGGGACAATGCCAGGTCACCCCAGGCCAGGGTTGAGGAGGGGTTGTCCTCTGATCTCAAAGGGTGAGAACCTCAGTTTACCTCCCTTAGCCAGAGACCCTGGGACCTTGCAGGTCGAGTTCCTATAGTTTCATAGGCCGTTACCATGGAAACAGGTATTCTCATGGGAAAAAATTTTCTTTTGATTGGTCATGGGGCCTGAACTCTGGGCCTGGGCACTGTCCCTCAGCTCTTCAGCTCAAGGCGAGCGCTCTACCACTTGTACCACAGCGCCACTTCTGGTTTTCTGGTGGTTTATTAGAGATAAGAGTCTCAGAGACTTTCCTGCCGTGGCTGGCTTTGAACACCGATCCTCAGATCTCAGCCTCCTGACTAGCTAGGATTACAGGATTACAGGCATGAGCCACCAGTGCCCGGATTCCCCCCC